ATGTCCTCGGAACAGAAGCTCGGGATTTGCGGCGGTGGCAATTAACTCAAGCGAAGAAGCGTTTAATCTGGATGTGAATTCGGTAGGAATGTGCTGACACCAGCAAAGGAAGCATAATTTCTTCATTTGCCGCAGAAAAAGGGGAACCGAAATTAACAGGAAAATAACTTTTGTGGGAATTTGGCAAAGCCCTTGGCCTTGGTCAGGGGGGCCGTTCTGTGGAAATACAATTTCACACTTGGCCTGGCAGCGAGCACACGGCGTATGAGTGATATAAAAGGGCGCCTAATTAATTGACTTGGCCTCCTCTCTGTGCGTGTGTGGTTATGAACTCCCAGTGCCAGTGCCCAGTAGGATGTGCATTGGCAAATAATGGAATTCAGTATTTACTTTCACTCTCACAGCAGCACCCGTCGAGTCCTTTGTTATTGGTCCTTTTTTGCAGCATTTTCAAGCTGTGCAGGCAGATGATAATTTTATTTTATTTTATTTTTGTCTTTGTAAGCCTCTTTTTTTTGGCATTGTCCTTCCAACACATGTCCTGCCATTTAAGCCCTTAACGGCAGGCGCACAATTGAACTGAAAAGGGGATTGCCATAAGCTGTTGTCTGGACAATGGCATTACGTATACGCCCCGCCGGCATGCAATCGCTTAAGCAAATAGCCATGCATTTAAAGTCAAAGTTTGGAAGTGCAAATTGCATTTAAAATTTGAATTTTATTTGATAATTAAAAATTGTTGGCACAGCTGCTCTCCACTTTTGCGTATTTTTCCTTCAAAGCATTTGATAACACCTGAGAATCTACTGAAATTTTACCTGAAAGAGCTTATATTTAATGGTTTTTCCACTTACCCTAGGATTGTAGTCCAAATATTTTTGTTAACAAAGAAGAAACTGGGTTCTGAGTATTATTTTTCAGGGTTTTTATTTAGCTTTCACAATTTTATTTATTTTTATTAAATTGTCACTGCCATTTTTGACTGATTTTAGGCTTCAAAAACTTGCACTTCACTCGCGATCTCTGGTTCGAGGATGGCTTCAATCGGAATGTAGTCCTCAAGAGTAGTTTTTGGGTTTATTTCGGTAGGGCACACACCACCACAACCACGCCGCGACGCGATTCAGAACGAACTGCGGCTACGAAGCAAAGATTCTGAGTCGGATTCGTCAGTTCGGAAATTCACCACTGAACAACAACACGAAGTCCGAATCCGAGGCGTGGCGAAGCTCGGCTGTGCCTCTTTGTGGGTCTGTGGAGCAGCAGGGAAAAGTGAAAGCTGTTGAGGCAGGTTAGTATTGTGCTCTTTCTGGCGAAACACAGAGAGCGCACTCTGCCGCCTTCCAGCGATGTTTTTGATTAGACTGGAAGCAGCGGTTGATAAGCCTGAAAGCCAAAGGATAACTGTTGCATGTAACTTGTTAGGCAGGGAGTTTTGAGTTTGAATTATTATTCTTATTCAACAGTGAACTTTTCTATTGTTCCTGATCAAGAATATATATGACTTATAGGGTCCGATAATAAATACATTTTTGAATATGTTTTTTATTTCTTAATTTTTTCAAAATTTTTTAATTATAAATGAGTAATTTTTTTTTTTTATTTATTTCACATCAAAGTTAATACACTGAATATTGAATTTACTTGGATATAATTGCTTTAATTTAATACTAATTTAATTAAGCCCTCAATATAAACCTCAAAAATCTTTAAAAAAATATTCAAACTTGAATTTGAAGTTTTTTAAAATTTCTTGAATTCAATTTTTTTTTTCAAAATTTCGATGTTTTTTCCTCTCGCACCTAGGACCTGCGCCTTCGCCGAAAAAAGTCTCCTTGTGTCACAGCTGTTTGACAGTGTCCGGCATTCCGGTGAAATCGTGGTGAGTTCGGCAACTGGAAATCCCGCTGATAAGAATCGCTGATAAGAATGCATTACGACGAAAGAAGCCGCAACAAAAGCAACACGTATCTTTTGCCATTGCATAAGAGTTTCATCATCATCATCATCATCAACATCATCATCATCATCGCCGTCCAGTTTGTGGTCTCTGCGGATGGAGGATGCTGGAGGAAGCAGGGAAAACTATTAAACCCGATGGAGACTACGTTGTGAAACCGCAAAATGCGCAACGCTGCAGACGCAATTAATGCTCACCGTTTTACAATTAGCGAACTGGCCCAATTATGCAGCAGTCTCTGTGCCCCCCTTAACCTCCTCCACAGTAACAACCTGCACAGCCTCCGCCGTGAATCTTTGCTTGATGCTTTTTCGCACGGGGGAACATGAACGGGCTTTTAATAGGAAATTCATGGCCGCCGTGACCGGTCGGGATGCTGGGGGTGCCTTTTAATTATGATAATTACATTGTTGTCGTTCTCATTTGGCTGACAGCAGCTGGGCCTTTGCCGCAGCGCCACAATCTCAGTCGTTAGACAAGAACGGTCCCCCGAAAATATGTACTTTCCCCGTTGTTCATGCCGGAAAAAGCGACCATGTTTAATGCAAACTGCACATGCTGGTGGCCGCCTGGTCAAAACATAAATTATTTAGTGATTTTTAGAGGAGAGAAGATCCAAAAGTGTTCATATTGGGGCACATTTTGGGTAACTGGTTAGTAACTAGTTAAAGATGTTTTGTGGGGCAATTAAACCTTTAAGAAACACTTTTACGATCATTTCTGTTTAACACTTCAAAGTTTTTGTATTTCATTGAATAACTAACTTAAATTAATTAGAAAAACTTATTGGTACTTTTAATTATCTCTTTATATTTAATGCTTAATGATATAATGCTAGTTATTTCTTATAATTCTTTTCAAAAAATAAGAAAAACCTTTCTTTTTGTTCTCTGCACTTGTTGAAATAAACAAAAGCTAGTCCCCTTCCCCTACTGCTCTGACATTATTCCCACTAAATTAACTTTGTCGCGTTGAGTGGTAATTATGTTTCCGCTGCATTTCGGAAACGGATGAATCTTTCAGCCCAAATTGGGTTATGGCGGCCAAAATGCAAATACATTCCAGAGGGAATCGTAGAATTCCGCCAGAAATAAAAGCGAGACAATTTGGGAATGCAACAATTAAGACTTTAGCGAGCTGTGCGATGCGTTTAGATGCATGTTGCGCATGTATGCAAATATTTGCAATGCCTGCACTAGTTGAGTTTGTTTTTGCCCCATTTTAGCCTCGGATTTTTCCGGAATTTCCCTGCCATTTGAATGTCGACGACATCGTAGCATGCAACAATTTATGGGGCTGTCAGCAATATGGCAACATGGTTTTTTGCCCTTCGCCTGGACATGCTAATTGCATGCACCATGTGGAAATAGCAAGTGAGTCGCGTTGAAATTTTTACGAAGCGAATAATTTAATGCGCCATAAATTCGCTGGAGTGTGTAGTATGTAGTGTGTGAGTGTGTGTAGGCTTGTAAAATTGACAGCGAGTGCGCCATAAATTCTGTAGCATACTTTTTAGCACAAAATTTTGACAGAAAAACCGCTGACAAAAGCAGACACACAAATGCAAAATGAGCCAAGAAACGAGGACCATACAGATTTTTGTGTCAGTTTTATTAATTATAAAAGCGGCGGGAGTGTTACATGAGAGCTTGGCCAAGGGGTCAGCCCGAAAGTATAGAATGACATCTGCATTATTTCGCTATTTTGCTATTCATTTGCACATTTTGGCTGGAAATTGTTTAGCAACAAAAGTATGCGAATCTGAGCTGGAATATTGCATTAACTTTTGCAGAACTATTTGCTTTTGGTAACTTTACCCTATCTAAAACGAATTTAATAAATGAATTAAAGTTACAGAGGCATAATATTTACCTTAAGAGTGTATAAAATATAAACCATTTACCTTTGCCAATTAATTTGTGATTAAACAGTACAGTGTAGTAGCCAAGAGGCAGGTGCCCACTAGATACTGTGGGTTTTCCAGTGTACAATCGGATCGGTATGTGTGCACTTCTTGCTATGCTCGGTTCAAAACTCGTCGGATATGGCGTGGGCCTTCCTCACCGATTATAAGTCACACCCTTTCACTACTGTAATAAAAGTTTAAGTGCACATTCTGTAAACTAAATGATTGGTCAACGGTTGAATTAATCGGACGTACGGACGGACCCTAAAGAGTAGGTATAAGAGAGGGTGGCTCGCGTTGAGGGTGGCTGAGGTGTCATCCGCCCCCACGTCTTTACCCTCCCTGCCGTGGTAAACTCTGATAAATTAAGTGTTACCCCTTAACTAAGCTCGCCTTTCGATCTTAGCTCATTCTAAAGACATTCGACATCCACTTGCTGTATTAACATAGACCAAAAATATACGTTTTTACTCCATTATTATTTCGTTAAACTTCAGGATAATTCATAATTTTGTCTCTGGGCGAGCGTCACAAAATTTCTCTACGCGCAGCGTGCCTTGCATAGCAAACGAGCCAAAAGCTACGGGACTTTTCCCAAATCCTCTCTCGCGTTCTCGATGCTCGCGAGCGAAGGACTGGAGGAAGGAAAAATATGCAAAAATCGTACGATTTCGCTGGCGCTGCGAATGCAGGTAGAAGAAAAACGGCATGTTCTGGAAGGCGCTACCCTACACTCTAGTCGCGGCATATGCGTTTCGATGGGTCGGTTCTATCATTTAAACTTACGATTTGCTTATTTATATTTTCCTATTTGTTTTCTCTGCTGCTACCCTCTGACCCCTACAACAGTGTTTGATTTATTTACATTTTCCTAAGAATTTTTCGACTAAGCATAGCCCTCCTTTGACTGCCCAATTGAAAGTGTTTCCTGGCCCCACTTTGAGTTCTCTTTTAATTGAAATTTCACGAGGCTTGAACTGGGAAGCCTTAACAGATGGCTGCCATAATTCCTAATTGTTGTGACCACGCAAGCCTAATTATATAATTAAGCAATCACGCGCAATTAAGGTAACACCAAGAAGGACTATTTAAGTGGCTACACCCGAAATTTTAAAGGTAACAAGTCAAGGAGACATGGCCGAGGTCACAGTCAACAGTCTGGAGTTCTTTGGCAGCCACTGGACTGCCTGGCGTGTGCTGGGTGTGGCCCATCAACGCGTCAAGTCCTGGAGGAACCTCTACCTGGGCTATGGTATCCTGCTGAACCTGCTGGTTACCCTGTGCTATCCATTTCACTTAGGAATGTCGCTCTTTCAAAACCGTACCCTCACTGAAGACATCCTCAACCTGACCACCTTTGTGACCTGCACTGCCTGCTCCTTGAAGTGCTTGATCTATGCCTATAATATCAAGGATGTAATGGAGATGGAGCGACTGTTAAATCTCCTGGACAAAAGGGTTAAGGGTCCTGGACAGAGAGCCATCTATGGCAAGGTGAAAGTGCAACTCCGCAATGTCCTGTACATTTTTATAGGCATCTACCTGCCCATCGCTTTTTTCGCCGAGCTTTCTTTTCTGCGCAAGGAGGAGCGGGGATTGATGTATCCCGCCTGGTTTCCCTTTGATTGGATGAACTCCACCAGGAACTTTTGCATAGCAAATGTCTATCAAATAGTGGGCATATCCTATCAGCTTTTGCAGAACTATGTTAGCGATTGCTTTCCAGCTGTGGTTTTTTGCCTGATTTCCTCGCACATCAGGATGTTGTATAAGAGACTCGAAGACGTGGGAACGGATCCTGAGGAAGACTCGGAGAAGGAGCTGGAAGCGTGCATCACAGATCACAAGAGATTGATTAAGTGAGTGATAATTTACAGGAGATTTCAAGATTTAAGAGAATACTTGTATTTATTTTTATTTTCCAGACTTTTTCGTTGCCTTGAGGCCTTCATATCCTTGCCCATGTTCATCCAGTTCACGGTGACAGCTTTAAATGTCTGCATAGGCATAGCAGCTTTGGTTTTCTTCGTCTCCGAGCCCATGGCCAGGATTTATCTTATATTCTACTCGATGGCCATGCCTCTACAGATATTCCCCTCGTGTTACTTTGGCACTGACAACGAATATTGGTTTGGAAGACTCCATTATGCGGCCTTTAGTTGCAATTGGCACAATCAAAACAAGAGTTTCAAAAGGAAGATGATGCTGTTTGTGGAGCAATCTCTGAGGAAGATCACAGCCTTGGCTGGGGGAATGCTACGCGTCCATTTGGACACCTTTTTCTCTACCCTAAAAGGCGCCTACTCGCTTTTTACTCTCATAATTCGTTTGAGGAAGTAGTGTTAAAATTCGTAACTTAAAAAGGAGTTAAAGCTTTATTAAATCCTTTCATTTTTTACTAAAATTCCACCTTTTAAAGTCTCCTCAATTTTTGATTGATTGTCACTATCTGGGCCATTCTGGGAAGTAGCAGCTGGTGCTAATTGCAACGTAGGACATTAGTAAGGGCCATTACTTAAACCGTCACAAGTTCTTATATAAGTTGGGGTACAAACTTGCTAAAAGGCATTGCAAATTCGACATGTCAGGAAGTAACATCAACAGTTTAAGCCATTTCCAGAGCCATAGGTACGCCCTAATGATGCTTTTCTTTGATCCCAAGAAACTGGAGGCTGGTGAAGGAGTCTACATTTGTGGCACCATCATTGTGAGTCTGCTCTTCTCGCTGGGATTTCCTCTTCACCTCGGCATGAAGCTGTTTCGCAATGAAACTAGGAATCAGAATATGTTAAACTTAGGCACTTTTCTGCCCTGCCTGGGAGCCTCCTCGAAGTTCATCATTTATGCCTTAAACTTTGGAAAAGTGCGTCGCATGGAGGAGTTGCTGCGATTGCTGGATCAGCGGGTTTCTGGACACAAACAGAGGAGTATCTACGCCCAGGTCAGGACTCGTTTGCGAGTAATGGTGGGCCTGTTCATTGGCATCTATGCTCCGTGTGGAATAACTGCAGTGATGATGTTTCTCTTTGCTGAAGAGCGGTCACTGATGTACTACGCTTGGTTTCCCTTTGATTGGAAAAGTTCCTTTGTGAGCTACTGCCTCGCGAATGGCTATCAGAGTGCTGGAATCTCTTACCAATTGGTGCAGAATTATGTCAACGATTGCTTTCCGGCTTTGGTCTTGTGTTTGGTCGCCGCTCATGCCAAGATCCTGTACTGTAGGTTAGAGGAAATCGGGGAAAATCCTCTACAGAATGCAGAAAGGGAGCTGGAGAAGTGCATAACCGATCACAAGAATCTGTTAGAGTGAGTATTGCTTAAGAATATCATTTCTGTGTTATTCTTTAAAATATATTTAATGTATTTAATACAGACTCTTCAGGATTACCGAGGCCTTCATGTCCTTTCCCATGGCCATTCAATTTTTATGCAGCGCCGTGAACAGCTGCCTTGGCATTGCTTCGTTTTTATTTTCCACCGATGAGCCCATGGTGCGGGCCTATAGCCTCTGCTATACCCTGGCCATGATCCTACAGATTTTTCCCTGCTGTTATTTTGGCACGGAATCGGAGTTCTGGTTTGGACGTCTTCATTATGCGGCCTTCAGTTGCAATTGGTTGATACAGGAAAGATCCTTCAAGCGGAAGTTAATGCTATTTGTGGAGAGGTCCTTAAAGAGCAGCACGGCCATGGCATGCGGAATGGTCTCCGTTTCGCTGATGACCTTTTTTGCTACTCTTAAATTTGCCTACTCGCTGTTTACGATTATTTTAAGAATTGATTAAACAGGATTGGAATATAAATTTAAAATTTATTTATTTTTGGCAATTTCAAATAAATTGTATTATATATCTTTTAGATATACATTTATATATATGTATTACAATACTTTTAACTCAGTTAAAAGATAAATAACTCCAATAAAATCTCATAAAAAGGTCTTTGCAACCGGCAACCATTTTTCACATTGGCCTGCAAAATGGCGGCCTTGCTACTTCCGTCTCAGCAGCAGCCAAAACGGAAGTCACAGAGATGACCGTAATGGGATGTAATAGGACGTTTATTGATAATTGATTTGGGACACCAATGCTCTCTATTTCTTTACACGAATTCGAGTTCCTTCCTCCTCGTTAAGTATACGCCACGTGTGCCAGATGGACTGCCCCACTGACTGGTCTCCTTTGCTAATTGAATCACTCTGTGCAAAATTTGCATAAGACAGTCGTCAGTCGACAAGTAAATCAATTGCTCAACCAGGATAACAAGACTTGAGCCGAACGCCATTGCCCGCTTATTTATTTGCACAAGCGATAAGACATTAAAAGACTTTGCCTTTGCCTTTTCCGTTCGAATCGCAGCCGGAGTTCGCTGTCGGAGTCGGTAATGCGCTTAAGTCCGTACAAAGTCCGTCTTGGATCTGCGTACTGAACGCTGTAAAATGGACCCAGGAAAAGTCCCAGGCAAAGACCAAAAAGGGACCCTACAGACCAGAATTTATAGCTGACAAAAAGGGAAACTAAAGAGCAGGACTACGCCTGGGTGTGACTTTGTATTCCAATCGATTTGATGACCATGTAGCCGGGGCGGCATCCACAGTTGATTTGAATTTATTACGAAACGCATTTACTTCTGTTTGCCGCCTAATTCCCCAAGCCGAGCACGTACTGAATTCCCAGGATTCGGGATACAGGACCCAAACCAAAAGACTCATGCTTAATTTTTAATCAAAACAAGCAACAACTCAAACTGCCAAAGCCGTTTTTGTGTTTCCACGTTTGAGGCGAGTACATCTCCAGCATTTAGCAGACTCAGCTGTTCGCCGACAGCCGGAAATTGTATTTGGTCACTTGGCTCATTTCGTGAGGACCTCGTCACCGCCATCATCATTATCATCATCATTTCCTGTGCTTATCATTTCCCTCTGGCCAAGGAGGGGACCTGTGAGTGTGCCAGTTGAAAAGTCCATTGCACTTCAGGGAGAAGGATGACTTAAGTTAGTTGGAAAGCAGACCTGTGCACTTGGAAAAATTAGAAAAGGAGTGTCTTCTGGTATATAAAATCCAAGAAATTTGATTAGAAAGGTATAGAATATTTAAATATATTATTTTTAAATACAAATAATTAATAAGCTCTGTGAAAAGTCTTAATATTATACATTCTAGATATTATTCTTTATCAATTTATTATAATTCCTAACAATACATAAATGCATCTATTAAATTCAAAAGAATCTTCATGGTTTCCCAGTACCCAAAACCAACTCAAATATATTCATATCTTCCATAAAACCCACTGTTTTTCCCGCCGTGCAGAGCACTCAGCTGGAGTGGCTCATTGGCCACTTTCCCGGCAGCCGAATGTAATTTGTTGTTAAGCAGAATGTTAATACGGTTGCAACAGCAAGTGGCTTTCAGTTCCTGCTTCTCTGTCTACGTTACCCTGACATCCACAAGTAGCCAAAGACTGAGCCTGGGCATGGCCATGTCTTCGTCCTTGAGCGCCAAGTGGTTTCCGTACGTGAACCACTCGTGCTGAAGAACCACAGAACCCAACAGGTGCGGGCAAATCGTATTTCCTTCGCTCACAACTCAAGCTAAACCTACTGGTTGGCCCAACTTTTCATTTAATTAGCAACAATCTGAGAACGAAAGGAGGGACTAAATCCCAACCGCCAGTGGCTTTGACTCGAAATTAATAGTTTGCACACTCGAAAGTCTGTCTGGGGCTCCTCCAAGTTTCAAATACTGCAAAGTAAATCAAAAGAAAAATTGCCCAAAACTTTTGTCAATGGCTTAACTTGGCCAACAGCCACATGCGACCATAAGGAGGAGAAAGAGGCAGGAGGGGGAACACAGGCCAACAGGACATCTGCAGCGCGGTGTGCTTAAGTAAATTACAAGCTTTCATAGTCCTGGCATATTTAACCGCAGCTATGTCGCTAGTGTTGGCCCAAGTGTTATCTTACACATGGGTATGCACTGGGGGAAAAATTAGGGGGAATATTTAAGTTGATTTTTATTTAGGGTTGAGGATATTTTTAATATTTTTTCAAGCAATAATGTTTAATATTTCAAGAATAAAAGGAAACTATTCAAATTATTCCGGAATTTTCTGAAGGAATGAAATAAATTCTAATTTTCTCAGTACACCCAAAAACCAGAATAATAGTGGCAAAATCAGTATCCATATGGTCCCATATAAAGAGTGGAATTTTACAACCGGCATAAGAAAGTCACTTAACGTGGGCAATGGCACATTAAGTGAGCGATGTGGGGGTGATGTGGCTACCGAGTGAAAGTTAATTTTGGGCCCCTCCGGAAAATGTGAAAATGTGTGAGGGAGGTCCAAAAGAAAATATGTATGTATGTATGCAATGCACCCACACAAAATTTAAGGATGTCAAAGACACTCTGGATACTGTGTGGAGTGGGCAAAAGGAGGCGTCAGTGAAAACATTTTGCCTAAACTATGCCATTAACATACAAAAACTTTCCCAGCAGCCGGCCTGTTCCAGTGACTCCCTCCCAGCTATGTTTCTCCATGTCTCTCCAACCAAACAACTCTTTGGAGCACGTAAATACTTGCCAGAAACTTGCACGAATTAACAACAAAAAGTTTGTCCTTCTTGTGTGACGGAAAACTTGGCTAGAATAACACAGGACTGCCGCTGGCAAGTGACAATAACGCACAGCAACTTGAGGGGGGATAGAGAGAGAGGGTGGACCGATGCTTCGTCAGCGTCAAGAGTTATAGAACATTACTCGGTTTCAGGAAAGGATTTTTCGGAGGGGAGAGAGGCCAGTGCCAAATGTCAAACAATTTGCGGTTTTCTAAGCCACACAGCAAGAAAAAGGGGAGGGTTTGTAAGGATTCTAGATGATTTTTATAGTATTTTTGAAGTGGAAGATAAAGATTTTTAAGATTTATTATAAGATCTATAAATTTTATAGATTTTCAAAGATTTAAGTCCCAAATATATTCTAAATATTTTTTCTAAGCCTTAATTCCTCATTTCCAATATAGTTTTTCTTTCCAAAAACCTCCAAATATTTTTTTCTCTGCTCCAAAATTTTCTCCATCCATCTTTATCCTTTAACTCCCTCCAACTCTTTTGCCAAAACCCCTCCTCCCTCTGTCTCCATTTACAGGCCCAGCCTAAAGGCCTTTTTGCCAAAGTATTTATAGCTCAAAACTTTACGACTACCAGGCTCATAAAAAGAATTAGAAAGGTATAGAATACTTAAATATATTATTTTTAAATACAAATAATTGATAAGCTCTATGAAAACTCTTAATATAATACATTCTATTATTCTTTATCACTTTATTATAATTCCTAACAATACATAAATGCATCTATTAACTTCAAAAGAATCTTCATGGTTTCCCAGTACCCAAAACCAACTCAAATATATTCATATCTTCCATAAAACCCACTGTTTTTCCCGCCGTGCAGAGCACTCAGCTGGAGTGGCTCATTGGCCACTTTCCCGGCAGCCGAATGTAATTTGTTGTTAAGCAGAATGTTAATACGGTTGCAACAGCAAGTGGCTTTCAGTTCCTGCTTCTCTGTCTACGTTACCCTGACATCCACAAGTAGCCAAAGACTGAGCCTGGGCATGGCCATGTCTTCGTCCTTGAGCGCCAAGTGGTTTCCGTACGTGAACCACTCGTGCTGAAGAACCACAGAACCCAACAGGTGCGGGCAAATCGTATTTCCTTCGCTCACAACTCAAGCTAAACCTATTGGTTGGCCCAACTTTTCATTTAATTAGCAACAATCTGAGAACGAAAGGAGGGACTAAATCCCAACCGCCAGTGGCTTTGACTCGAAATTAATAGTTTGCACACTCTATAAATTTTATAGATTTTCAAAGATTTAAGTCCCAAATATATTCTAAATATTTTTTCTAAGCCTTAATTCCTCATTTCCAATATAGTTTTTCTTTCCAAAAACCTCCAAATATTTTTTTCTCTGCTCCAAAATTTTCTCCATCCATCTTTATCCTTTAACTCCCTCCAACTCTTTTGCCAAAACCCCTCCTCCCTCTGTCTCCATTTACAGGCCCAGCCTAAAGGCCTTTTTGCCAAAGTATTTATAGCTCAAAACTTTACGACTACCAGGCTCATAAAAAGCCAAGTTCTGGCCTGAATCCCTCCTGTTTCCATCCCCCTCCCTTCCAGCATAATTGCCGCTAAAGATTGTTTGGCGTCCGATGTGGATTGTAGTCCAACTATAACTCATTACGGCTAATGAGCGTTATTCGTGCCCCGACGCCCACTCAACTTCATTTCGCATTTTGAATGGCCCAAGGATGAGAGCGGCGACAGACTTGACTTGTGACACAACAGAGAGAAAGAGAAAAAGGACGAGGACGAGCGGATTTTAACTCTGCCGAAGGGATTACGCTTAATTGACAGCGACAACAAGTGACAGACACTGTCTACGGATACACAGAGGAGACGGAGTTCGAGGAACTGAAGGCAGGACAGGAACGTGTCCATACTTAAACTCTTTAAGCCAAGCCCAGACAGTCGCCAAATGGTGTGTAATTATTATTTAAATATATTTAATTATATAAAATATACTTCAACCAAAGAACTAAAGACGTAAAATATATAAATAGTAAGTATTTATCGGCCAATTAGCAAAGATAAAGAAAATATTGAAATATCGCCATAAATCCAGCCAGCAGGCCTTGCTCTCGAATGAGCTGGTTACGAGCTGCCCCTGCAGTTGAGTTGCGGGTTTAATCACAGGTAACACACAGGTAACTCGCTACCGTTTAAATGCAAATGATGCGACGACTCTGGTCGTTGGCAATAAACGTGGCCAAAAGGCATTTCGTTTTCGCATATGCGGAAAATGTGAACGGAAATGCGAATAAGCGGGAAAAACAAGTATAGCCAAGGAGGAGCAGCTAACACAGACAGAAAAGTATTTACTAATTTTAAAATCAAATAAATTTAATATAATAAAAATATGTACCTTTGTTTAAAACCTTTTAAAGTTGTGATAATTTAAAAATTATTATTATTTTATAGCATTTTTAAGGCAATACATTTTGGTATTAATAATCTAAGTTAGAATTCATTAAATATTATTTATTATTTGTATTTTTAAATAATATTTCTCTTAGTGCACTTTAGCTCTTATTACATGATGTGGGGCGTGGGCCTTGGGGCCTGGCATGCGTAAGGTAGGGGCGTGGCCGCGACACGTGTACACCCCAATTGTGCGGATTTGGCGGGACAATTGAAATTTTAAATGCCGCAAAATGGCAGTGGCAATAATGAGCATGATGATTATGTCGGGGTATGGCAACAATTATGCTGATGACGTGTGTGTGTACTACAGGCACTCACTGTGTCTCCGGTTCCCCAGGTTTTCGCTGGTGGGCGTGATCCGATTGTTTGCCCACGTGGCGGTATTTATATATTTTTTTTCGGGTTTGTTTTTCTTAGCGGGGTTTGGCTGACTGATAACGAGTGATTAAATGTATTTCTGAACGGGTTTTAA